AGAAAGGACCCGAGAAAATATTTGAAGAGATTATAGTTGAAAACTTCCCAAACATGGGAAAGGAAATAGCCACCAAAGTCCAGGAAGCACAGAGAGTCTCAGGTAGGATAAATCCAAGGAGAAACAGGTCGAGACACATAGTAATCAAATTGACAAAAATTAAAGATGCAAAATTATTGAAAGCAACAAGGGAAGAATGACAAATAACATACAAGGGAACTCCCATAAGGTTAACAGCTGATTTCTCAGCAGAAACTCTGCAAGCCAGAAGGGAGTGGCACGATATATTTAGTGATGAAAGGGAAGAACCTACAACCAAGAATACTCTACCCAGCAAGGCTCTCATTCAGATTCGATGGAGAAATCAAAAGCTTTACAGACAAGCAAAAGCTAAGAGAATTCAGCACCACCAGACCAGCTTTGCAACAAATGCTAAAGGAATTCCTCTAGGCAGGGAAAAGACTAGCAACGTAAAACAACCTTGTACATATATAGACTACTATATCAAAACCTCATGGGAACAGCAAACCGAGAAACTACGATAAACAAAAAAAGAAAAAAACAACCAAACAACACTAAATATGATCATCAGAAGAAAACAAAAGAGAAAGAAAAGAAAAAAGACCTACAAAAACAAACCCAAAACAATTAAGAAAATGGCAATAGGAACACACATATCAATAATTACCTTAAATGTAAATGGATTAAATGCGCCAAAAGACACAGACTGGCTGAATGGATACAAAAACAAGACCTGTATATATGCTGTCTACAAGAGACCCACTTCAGACCTAGGGACACATACAGACTGAAAGTGAGGGGATGGAAGAAGGTATTCCATGCAAATGGAAATCAAAAGAAAGCTGGAGTAGCACTACTCATATCCATAAAAATAGACTTAAAAATAAAGACTGTTATAAGAGACAAAGAAGGACACTACATAACAATCAAGGGATCAATCCAAGAAGAAGATATAGCAATTGTAAACATATATACACCCAACATAGGAGCACTTCAATATATAAGGCAAATACTAACAGCCACAAAGGGAGTAATCGACAGTAACACAATAATAGTGGGGGGCTTTAACACCCCACTTTCATCAACAGACAGATCATTCAGACAGAAAATCAATAAAGAAACACAGGTCTTAAATGATACGTTAGACCAGATGGACTTAATTGATATTTATAGAGCACTCTACCCAAAAGCAGAAGAATACACATGCTTCTCAAGTGTACACGGAACATTCTCCAAGATTGACCACATCCTCGGCCACAAAGCAAGCCTCTGTAAATTTAAGAAAATTGAAATCATATCAAGAATCTTTTCTGACCACAATGCTACGAAATTAGAAATAAGCTACAAGAACAAAAAACTATAAAAAGCACAAACACGTGAAGGCTAAACAATATGCTACTAAACAACTAATGGATCACTGAAGAAATCAAAGAGGAAATCAAAAAATACCTAGAGACAAATGGAAATGAAAGCACAATGATCCAAAACCTATGGGATACAGCAAAAGCAGTTCTAAGAGGAAAGTTTATAGCAATACAGTCTTACCTCAGGAAACAAGAAAAATCTCAAATAAACAACCTACCTTATACCTAAAGCAACTAGAGAAAGAACAACAAACAAAACCGAAAGTTAGTAGAAGGAAAGAAGTCATAAAGACCAGAGTAGGAATCATAAAGATCAGATAAGAAATAAATAAACAAACAAAGAAGACAATAGCAAAGATCAATGAAACTAAAAGCTGGTTGTTTGAAAAGATAAACAAAATTGATAAACCTTTAGCCAGACTCAAGAAAAAAGGGAAAGGACTCAAATTAACAAAATTAGAAATAAAAACAGAGAAGTTATAACTGACACCACAGAAATACAAAGGATCATAAGAGACTACTATATGCAACAGTATGCCAATAATATGGACAACCTGGAAGAAATGGACAAATTCTTAGAAAGGTACAGTCTCCCAAGACTGATCCAGGAAGAATTAGAAAATATGAAGAGACCAATCACAAGCACTGAAATTGAAACTGTAATTAAAAAACTCCCAACAAACAAAAGTCCAGGACCTGATGGCTTCATGGGCAAAGTCTATCAAACATTTACAGAAGAGCTAACATCTATCCTTCTGAAACTCTTCCAAAAAAATGGCAGAGGAAGGAAAACTCTTGAATTCATTCTATGAGATCATCATCACCCTGATACCAAAACAAGACAAAGATACCATTAAAAGAGAAAATTACAGGCCAATATCACTCATGAACATAGACACAAAAATCCTCAACAAAAGAGTAGCAATTCGAATCCAACAATACATTAAAAGGATCATACACAATGATCAAGTGGGATTTATCCCAGGAATGCAAGGATTTTTCAATATCCGCAAATCAATCAGCATCATACACTACACCAACACAGTAAAGAATAAAAAACATACGATCACCTCAATAGATGCAGAAAAAACTTTTGACAAAATTCAACACCAATTTATGATAAAAACTTTCCAGAAAGCGGGCATAGAGGGAACCTACCACAAAATAACAAAGGCCATATATGACAAACCCACATCAAGCATCATACTCAATGGTGAAAAGTTGAAATCATCTCCTCTAAGATCAGGAATAAGGCAAGGATGCCCACCCTCACCACTTTTATTCAACATAGTTTTGGAAGTCCTAGCTACAGCAATCAGAGAAGAAAAAGAAATAAAAGGAATGCAAATTGGAAAATAAGAAGTGAAAATGTCACTGTTTGCAGATACATAGAAAATCCTAAAGACATTACCAGAAAACTACTACAGCTCACCAATGAATTTGGTAAATTTGCAGGCTACAAAATTAACACACAGAAATCTGTTGCATTTCTATACACTAATAATGAAAGATCAGAAAGAGAAATTCAAGAAACAATCCCATTTACCATTGCATCAAAAAGAATAAAATATCTAGGAATAAACCTGCCTAAGGAGACAAAAGACTGGCACTCTGAAAACTATAAGACGCTGATGAAAGAAATCACAGATGACATGAACAGATGGAAAGATATACCATGTTCTTGGATTGGAAGAATCAATATTGTCAAAATGACTATACTTCCCAAGGCAATCTACAGATTCAATGCAATTCTTATCAAATTACCAATGTCATTTTTCACAGAACTAGAACAAAAAATGTTAAAATTTGTATGGAGACACAAAAGACCCCAAAAAGCCAAAGCAATCTTGAGAAAGAAAAATGGAACTGGAGGAATCAGGCTCCCTGACTTCAGACTATACTAAAAAGCTATAGTAATCAAAACAGTATGGTACTGGCACAAAAATAGAACTATAGATCAATGGAACAGGATAGAAAGCCCAGAAATAAACCCACGCATCTATGGTCAATGAATCTATGACAAAGGAGGCAAGACTATACAATGGTGGAAAGACAGCCTCTTCAACAAATGCTGTTGGGAAAGCTGGACAGCTACATGTAAAAAAAATTAAATTAGATCATTCTTTAACACTATACACAAAAATAAGCTCAAAATGTTTTAAAGACCTAAATGTGAGACTGGACACTATAAAAGTCCTAGAGGAAAACATAGGCAGGACATTCTCTGACATAAATCGCAGCAATATATTTTCCAATCTGTCTCCCTGAGAAATGGAAATAAGAACAAAAATAAACAAATGGCACCTAATTAAACTCAAAAGCTTTTGCACAGCAAAGGAAACCATAACCAAAATGAAAAGACAACCCACAGAGTGGGAGAAAATACTTGCAAATGATGTGACTGACAAGGGATTAGCCTCCAAAATCTATAAACAGCCCATGTGGCTTAATATCATCAAAACAAACAACCCAATCAAAAAATGGGCAGAAGACCTAAACAGACATTTTTCCAAGGAAGACATACGAATGGCCAAGAGGCACATGAAAAAATGTTCAGCATCACTAATGATTAGAGAAATGCAAATCAAAACTAGTGAGATATCACCTCACACCAGTCAAAATGGCTATCATCAAAAATCCACAAACAATAAATGCTGGAGAGGGCATGGAGAGAAGGGAACCCTCCTACACTGCTGGTGGGAATGTAAAATGGTACAGCCACTATAGAGAACATTATGGAGGTTCCTTAAAAAACTAAAAACAGAGCTAACATATGACCCTGCAATCCCACTCCTGAGCATATATCTGGAGAAAAACATGGTTGGACAGGATACATGCACCCCAATGTTCATTGCAGTACTGTTTACAATAGCCAAGACATGGAAGCAACCTACATGTCCATCGACAGAGGAATGGATAAAGAAGATGTGATACATATATACAATGGAATATTACTCAGTCATAAAAAAGAATGAAATAATGTCATTTGCAGCAACATGGATGGACATAGAGATGGTCATACTGAGTGAAGTAAGTCAGAAAGAGAAAGAGAAATATCTTGTGATATTGCTTATTTGTGGAAACTAAAAAGAAATGATACAAATGAACATATTTACAAAAGAGAAACAGACTCATAGACTTAGAGAATGAACTTATGGTTACAGGGGAGAAGGGCGGAGGGAAGTTATAGTTAAGGGGTTTGGGATTGACATGTACACACTGCTATACTTAAAGCACAGAGAACTCTGCTCAATGTTATGTGGCAGCCTGAATGGGAGGGGAGTCTGGGGGAGAATGGATACATGTACTTGTAGGGCTAAGTTGCTTTGCTGTGCACCTGAAACTATCACAACATTGTTAATCGGTTATACCCCCATATAAAATAAAAAGTTTAAAAAAAAAAGTAAAATTTGAGATTATCCTTCCTTAGCTTAATGCATGCTTAAATGTTTCTCTGTCTTATTAGTCAAAATGTTAATTCTTTCTACTTCCTAGATGTATACACCATCACAAAAAAAAAAAAATTAAAAATTTTACTGATGATATAGGAAAACACACCTCATCACTAGTGGTTTTGTCTTTTAGGTGCAGGGTTATTTTTATTTTCATTTTTACCTTATAACAGTCTCCTCCAGGCATGATTTCCTGAATATATACCAAGGGACCTTCATTCCGGTTAATTCCTCCTAGGATCTTCAGACCAAGGCCTGTCTCCTTGGTAACTGTAATCATCTGAAAGGCAGGGTCCCTAAGATGAAGTAAAGTAGCATATGCACAGATTAGCCTAGAGGTGGGTACCTACTTTTTCTTTAAACTGTTTGGTAAATCAAATTCTTAGAACTAGACAACTCAGAATACTCAGTACACACTAGCAACGACATTTTAAAAAGTATGATCATACAAAAGCAATCAAATGAATTTTCTTAGCTCTAATTTTAGTTTTTCTATAAAACAGCCAAACAGTACAAGAAATTACTGCAATAATGCTTATTTCTTTGGAGTAGAAAATACTTTAAAAATATTATTTAAACAACTTTAAAGATTTATTAAAGGTGACTGAAGAGACTTAGTTTTAACTGATTATTTTGACTACACTGAAGGATTCCAAAACAAAATACTTTAATGAATTAGGTAAGTGACTTTAAAAGACATGTTTTTGGCCACTTAAAGCAAAATAAATATGACCTTCATTTGAAACTCAAAAAAATGCAGTTTATCTTTTTAATTTAGAAAGAGTATTTTCCTGGTACAAATCACTTGCTCCAGCTGCAATTTCTGCCAGACATAAAAGTGATGCCGTTAGAAAAGAAGGAACTGTTAAAAGAATTCTGCAAAAGGTACTCTCCCCCCTTCACCTCAGTTGTGTTTCTAAACAGTGGTCAGAGCAGACACTTTTACCGGTCCAAGAGAACTTGAATAAAGCATGAAATGAAGTTCAGGGCCGTCTGCTTACTTATGGTGTAGTGGGTGTTGTGCTAAGCAATATACATACATTAGGCCGTTCAACTAATACTTATAAAATCCCTATGATGATTACCCTCATTTTTCTAAAAGGACCCAAATCTGGGCAGGTTAACTTGGTGGCCCAAGGTTACGAAGCTGGAGAACAACAATGTGAGGGCAGTCTGTCTAACTCCAGAGACAAAGTATGGTCTAAGGTCTACTTCACTGGTGCATTAAAGCCATTGTTGAATATAGGACTTCCAGCTGTCTTCAAACGTGCCAAAACACAGAAACCGCTCTTTAAAAAGAGTTACTTCATATCTTACATATGATTATAGCTTTAAAAAAATTTTCTTAACTTCTGCCATAGAAGTTCTGACTATATCTTTAAGAAGACTTGTATTCAAAAGTTAAATCATAAAAAAGTAGAATGAAAGAAATTAAAATTTTTTAAAAAACTTACAAAACTCCCTGTTTTTGAATATTTTGCCCTTTATATAGCACATCCTTTAGGGTTGCATTATACTGAATTCAACTCTAGGGTTGGAGGGCCTATCTGGGGATACTAGGGTAATAGTCAATTATCTAGGAAAAAAAGGCAGAAAATGTTCTACAGTCAGATTTCAGAACCTCAGTCCATTCTTGACAGGAGATTTAGACTGCAAGGACGTAAAGGGGTGAAGCCTAGAAAAGGGCAAGATGAAGAAAGGGGACAAAGGTCCTCATTAAGCACCTCCAATAAGCTCTTAAACCCTCTAAATGTCAATTTCCTTCAATGGGGACACACACGATCTCCAGCATATGTTATTTCAGTAAGGGATCCCTCCTTTTCTAATCCCAACACACAGTATCTATTATTAACACAGCAGTGTATTTACTTGCTAGGACCTTACTTTAAAATTCCCTCATTGTTAAGAATTTATATTACTTCCTTTTTTTTTTTTGTCTATTAAAAATAGTTCTGCTGGGCTTCCCAGGTGGCGCAGTGGTTGAGAGTCCGCCGGCCGATGCAGGAGACACAGGTTCGTGCCCCGATCCGGGAAGATCCCATATGCCGCGGAGCGACTAGGCCCGTGAGCCATGGCCGCTGAGCCTGTGCGTCCGGAGCCTGTGCTCCGCAACGGGAGAGGCCACAACAGTGAGAGGCCCGCGTACCACAAAAACAAAACAAAACAAAACAAAACAAAACAAACAAACAAAAAAAAAACCAGGCAGAGACACTGCTTTTCACCTATCAGATCAACGTAAATTTAGAACTTTCACAATATAAGACAAGGCTTTAGGAAAGAGGTACTCTTTTACATTGTTGGTGGTAATGCAAAATGGCATAACCCCTAAAGAGGGGATTTGGTAGTCTCTAACTTTACCTTCTGATCCAACAATCCCCTTTCTAGGAACCTTTCCCAAAGATACTCTGGCAAGAAATACAAATGACTTGTATACTAGGTTCGTCATTTGGCATAATTTGTGATCACCAAAAATAGCAAACAATTCAAATGTCCATCAATAAGGTACTGGATGAATAAACTATGGTATATTAAGAACAGAATACTATACAGTTACAACAAGGTACAAGGAAGATCTTTATAAATTGATATGAAGTGATCACCAGGATATAATTTTAAGTTAAAAAAAAGTCTGGTCAAAACACTATATATAATATGCTACCTTTTTGTTAAGAATGCACTGGCAAGTGGAGCCTGGGAGCTGAATCCTGGGTGTTTTGGAACATTTTGCCTTGGTCATATGCTACTTCCTCATGAACTTGATTTTGCCCTAAGTAGTTGGATAAAACTCTGCTGTCACACAGAGTAAAACTGTTCAACATCAATGCATGGAGCTCTGTAGACAGAACTCTTCACCTACCACACAGCTGGGCCTGGCTTATATCTCTATGAGACTGGAGCTTTCCACTGCTCCCAGGAGGAGGCATCAGAGAAAGATACCTTGAGTTTAACTAACCTGACACCCTTCTGCAGGGAAGATCTTCAAACCTGAGTCAAAGGGCTGGTGAACACTTGTTTACTACGTAAGCAAGAGTAGAAGAATGTCTATACAGTGGAACTATATACAGAATAAATAATAACTTTGAGAAAAAATATAATTATATACACACATATATATATCACATGCATATATATTTATATGGATATGTATTTGCTTATGCAAAAAGAAACACTGAAAAAGAACTAAGAATAAAGATGGCTATTTATAGGAGGAATGAAGGCACAGAGTGAAAGACAAGACTGAAAGCAGGACTTCTCCAAATATACCTTGTTATATGTGTGTTACATGTTTGCAAAACGGCCAATTCTTCTCGTCTCTGTCTGCATGCCCCCAGGAATGTGACTTTACTGTTCCTTCCATTAAAAAGTAAAGTCTGTAACTCTAGACCTTGAATTTGGACTTAGTTATCTAAATTGCTTTAGCCAATGGTGCATAAGCAAATGTGAGGAAAACAGACATTTGAAAAACACTTGTGTTTTGTTGCTGGGAACCATTCTACCACCACGTGAAAAAGTCTGAGCTAGCTGCCTGGAAGATAAGATGCCAAGTTGAAAGAGACTTCAGCTATCCAGCCTTCCTAGATGAGGCCCCAGAACATGTCAATGAGGCCACCCTACGTGATCTGGTGCAGCCCAGAAGAACTGTTCACAGAATCATGAGGAAGAATAAATGCTTGCTTGTTTTAAGGTACTTTGAGCTGGTTTGTTAGTCAGCAAATGTTAATCTTAACATTGTTATTTTTATACTGGAATTATAAAATATTTTAGGTATTTAAAAAATCAGATCAAATTTTTAAAAAACAGTCTATATAAATAATTCTAAAAGAGAATGCTTAATTGTCCTTTACCCTGATTTACATAGAAAGCTCTGATCAACCTTTTCATTACCACTATCTTAGACCACAGGTAGGTAGCTGTATAAAACTTTCCACCAAATGTTCATTAATATTCTACATATTTTAAACTATGATAGTTCAAAACATATTAAATTTAATTTAGCAATTACTTTTCAAGTAGACCGGATGATACTACGGCAGATGTATTTTTATTCATGGTTTCACCACTACTGTAGCCTTGGATTTAACAGCTGTATAAATGAAGATCTTGATGAAGAGTCTATAAATTCTTCTTTTCCTAAGATTGGAGAAGTAGAAAATAAACTGTCATGTCTTAGAACAGTCAAATTTGATTTTAACTGTGCATAAAAACATTACATATACTTGGCATGTAAACAATATGTGCCTGTGTATAGATGATAGATGTATTTTATATATGTTGAGCTATGGCATTTTAGTCATTGCTGATAATATCTGAGAAATGTAAAGGCAGTTCTGTAGATAGAAAGCTAGATAGAGCTATAGGACTATATCTATATCATTATTAATATCTATAGCTATATAAAAATCTGTATATTCTAGCAGAAGTGAAGAATACAGTTAAGCTTTAGGTAACTATTATAGCTTCCACCGTTACTAAGCTTAAGAAACACAGAATAATAAAAGACTGAGGAAAATGTCTCTTGTGAGCACAAGGCTAGGAATTTTACAGTCAGAATGTCGGCAAAATAATTATACAATACACTTTGAAGAAAACACAAATTCCTACTGTCTCACCAACTATCTTGAGGGACTTCCTGCAGATCCTATATTACTCTGACTCATATTACTCCATGAGCTTCTTAAATACTTTCCTATAAAAAGAAAAAAATATTATTTTAATGTCTCATATAGCTCCACTGTGAAAATTATAGAGAATAGTGCAGTTTCATTTAATTTAAAAACTGTATTTGAACAGATTTACCACTTCTGTATAAGAAACATAAAGTATAGAAACCTGAAGTTGAAAAAGACCTTAGGATCATTTAGCACAGCTCTCTTATTAAAGCAATGAGTAGCTAGATTCAGAGAGATTGTGTACTTCCCTATACAAATGAGAAATAGTCAATGGTTTTTTTTCCCAACTAGAACTCAGGCTTCAGAGCCCACAGCATGAAACTTGACATCAGACAGACCTGCATTCCAATTTGAGCTTCTAGGCTTCTCCAAGCATCAGTTTCTTCAAAGGTACAGTAGGTAGTAGTGATGGTTTTACAAATGGATACACATGTCAAAACTCACCAAACTGTCTCACTATAAATATGTGCTGTTTGTTATAAATCAATTATACCCTAGTAAAGTTAAATTTTTTTAAAAATCCAATTTTCAGTTAAAAATGGCAGCTTGACATTGGCATGTATCTTCTTTTCCTCCAAGAGCCCACTAATATAAGAGTAAAGGGTTACAAACAGTATAAACTCATAATGTTAGAGAAAAAATGAAAGAAGAGCCATGAGATGAAAAGTTTCAATAAATTTCTGGAAGACAAAAAATAGATGGTAGGACGATAATTGATAAAGGAGGCCTGAAGAAGCTGAAAGCTAGGGAAAGGCTTTGTAAACACTTTTAAGTTTGAGCACACATATAGAAAATGGTAATACTTGTATGGTGTACTGGGGTAAACAGAGGTGGCATGCTATACCTCTAAGAAGCTGAGGGGCAGTCACTAACTCAGCACACCATAACTGATTCATGGCAAAATTCTGGCCTAAAAAACAGCTAGAGATGTTGAGGAACATATCTAGTAGAATCCCAGAGAGGTTGGGGACTCAGGAACCCAAAGTACTAGGGACAGTGAAACTGAGGTGGAGAACTAAAATCAAGGGGATTATCCCATCTCTTCTCCAACTACTTACGTGAGAGAAATCCTAGATTCTTCTGTCAATAAATTAAATGGACTCTGAAGAAAGAGCCGACAACCTCCTGGGATCCTAACACAGAATTGTATCACTGGTCTGGGTGTTAAAAACCTGCTTCAACTTTCACAGCCCCTGTGGTAGCAAGCAACAGAAACAGTGGGAGCACACAGATCAACAATAGCAGGGAAATGAAGCCATCAAGCGCTGTCATCAGCAAGAGTCTGATGGCCAGGAAGCAAGAAGGTTACTCAGTACCCCATGGGGGAAGGAGGGGAAACTTGAGGGAAGAGCTTACAATCCTAGGGCTTGACAGAGTAATGACTCAAGAGTCAAGAGCTGCTGCAGTGGTCCACAAGACTAATGCAGCGGTAGAAGAGAGTTCAATTCTAAAAGTAAGTTTTTATAAGTTCATTATAGACTGCTTTAATAATATAGCAGAATGGAGCAGATTCCCAAACCTTCAGTGAGGAAGTTTTGATATAACAATAATAATAGCAACTACCATCTATTGGCACCATGTGTCACACACTGTGCTAAGTATTTCAAATGTATTTATCTTATTTAATATCATGAAAAATCCATTAGCTTTAAGTAAAAAAAAGCTGAGTTCAAATGGCAAAACCGCTATATGCTAGCCATACAGCCTTAGAAGAGTTACCTAACCTCCTGGCGTCTCTTCATATTAAGGTAGGAATAATAACACCTAGCTAAAAGGGTTGCCATGAGGATTAAGGGAGATGTAAAAAACTGGGCTGTCTTCACAGTGTTACCAAAGTGAGTAAGATCCCCATGCAGTAGTGATTTGTCTTAGCTGGGCACTGGGTCCCCAGGTCATGGAACATATCCAAGTATAATGGATATGTCATTGTTAAATTCTATAATAGATTCCATATAGTGTCATTTAATTTTTTTTCTACTTCAAACTATTAAAATGAAATTTCAGTTTTTAAATTATTTCATTCACCTAACATACCTGTCATTGTCCTAAGTGCTGGAGGTGAGATAAAAAGAAAAGAGTCTCTCCCCAGAGACAGTCAAATAAACAGACATCAGGAGTGTGCTAAGTGCTCTGACAGTGGTATTCACAGGGTGCTGGGGGCATGGAGGAAGGCCATCTAACCCAGAATGGAGGAGTCGTCATGAAACAGCAACACAGCCAGGCATCATACTAGAGGATTTTATCCTCAGAGGAGCCCCAAAAGGCAGGTAATATTAACCCATTTTACATAAGAGAAAATCAGTTAATGGAGAAGCTATGTGACTTGCCCATGGCCACAGTGCTAAACAGTTATAAAGTGGAATTTGAATCCAGTTCTGCCTGGCTTCAAACACAAGCTTTTTCTGTTACAGGACACTGGAAAATTAATTTATGTGGAAAAATGTCATCCTCCAACAAAGTAAGATAAGAGAGTGTTAATTTAATTAATGCTGTCTCTCTTCTATGAAGATGATACTATTTTTTTTTTTTTTTTTTGGCTGTGTCACGCAGCATGCAGGATCTTAGTGCCCCAACCAGGGATTGAACCCGTGCCCCCTGCAGTGGAAGCATGGAGACTTAACCACTGGACCGCCAGGGAAGTCCCTATGAAGATGATACTACTGATTAAACTTCTTTACAATAATGAAATGGGTTTAATCTTATCCATTCAAACATCAGGCTTTTTTTTTTCCTCTCCACATGAACAAGGTACCCATTGTCATATCCTTAAAAATCATAAAATGCCTTTTCCTTCCCTCTCCTTTGCTTGTTTCCTACTCCTTCCTTTATACGAGCGAGCAAGGTCCTCAATTGATAGGAGTTCTAGTAATGTTACACATCTACCCCAATCCCCCAACTTCACAGTATTAATGAATGACACAAAGAAAATATTCTATTCTTTTACTAAAAATACGACTATTCAAGGAAAATATTTTGTTTTTCTAGGTTGCTGACTCATAGGGGGAAAAGGTTAGGTCAGCAAAAACAGAGACAGTGGAACACTGGGGGAAAATATCTTGTTTTATAAGCTGACTCTATTCTGGAAAACTTAAATTAGAGCTTTACTTTGATACACAACTCTCTTATGACTGCATTAGAAGTTTTCATTCCATACAATTAAAAATCTCATCAGATAAAAATCTGCATATCATGCACATGATGTCTGAATAACAGACTTAATAATTTATGTTCTCAGAGACACGACATTCAGTATTTTCTAAAACTAGTTCTTTTTACCAGACCAAAAATAGAGAATATAAAAGGGAAAGGGATAAAAACATCTGACAGAAATGATGGTAAGTGTTAACTTGATTAAACTATAATAATGCCATATGAAACATTATATTTTTAAAATTTAAATAATAGTTAATACATTCCAATGTGGGTATATATTATGGATGCATATCTCTGTCCTATCCAGCTCCACACCATTTCCACACTTAGGTACCCACTGTTTTAGTTTCTTGTGAATCCTTTTAGTTCTTTTATATACAAATAAACAAATATAAATAAATCTTCTGATTCCTTTACATTTTTTTGATGCAGAAAGTAGCTACAATCAGGCACAAAGCACCCAGCTGTTCAGGTTGTACACTGTACAATCCTGAGGGTTTGTATGGGTCATACAGACTCTGATGTGAACAGGTACTCTGGAGTGTATGGTAGCCCTGCATACTATATGCACTACTGTGCAACCTGTTTCTTTTTTTCTTTAACTTAATATATAACTTGGAATTCTTTTCATATTTTTACATAGCATACTAATTTATATTCATAGCTGTATAGTATTCCATTTTATGGATGGACCATATTTATTTATTCCCTTACTGATAGATATTTAAATTGTTTCACTTTTTTTGCTATTGCCATAATGAAATCTTTATATATAGGTCACATTACACATGTACAAATCTATCTGTAAGATAAATTTACAAAAATCAGAGTTTATACACACTTGCTATTTTGACAGAAAATGCCAAACTGCTCTCTATCTGGGTTGTACTATTTACAATTCCATCAATAATAGTGCCTCCATCAATAATAGTGCCTGGTATTCCAAATCCTCACCAACATGGTATACTACATTACTTGGATTTTGACAGTCATATTGATGAAAATGGTATCTTAATGTAGTCTGAGTGAGGCTGAGCATTTTTTTTATGCTTTCAGAACCTTTTATGTGAACTGTGTTTTCCTATCTTTTGCCAATTTTCCTATTCATTGTTAGCTTTTTACTGTCTATTTTCTAGTTCTTAAATCCTAGGGAGATTATTCCTCTGTCTGCACTAAGAATTGTAAGTATATCTTTCTCCTTTTGTTCTTAGACTTTTTTTTTTTTGGTTATGCAAAAGTTTGTGGCTAAATTTATGTTTTATGATTTTTGGTTTAAGTCAAATGAAAGTCCTTGCTGACTCCACAAAGTTACAAAGAACTCTCATATTTTCTTACAGTTTCATTCTAAAATCTTTGATCCATTTGGAAACCACCTACAGTATAAGGTATAGATCCAACTCTTATTTTCTCCCCCAAGAAGATCACTCAGTTGTCTTAACCACATTTATTAAATGTGATTTGAGATGCAACCTTTATCATACACCAGATCTCATAAGTACTTGGGTCTACTACTGTACTTTTTTATTCTGGCCCATTTGTTATTCTACGTATTTATGTACCAACACTATTTTATTTTAATCATAGACGCTCTATAATATGTTTTCATATCTGGTAAGGACAATACACCCCTCACTGCTCTTTTTCATCCAAGTTTCCTGGCTATTTTTGGTTATTTTTACACATTAACATCTAAATCTCCTTGTTTTTTTTAAAAAAAGTTAATTGTTGGGAATCACGTTAAATTTGCAAATTGATTGAGGAAGCTCTGGTATCTATCTTTTTGATTTTTCCTGTCACAGTACTTGGTATATCTTTCCTTTTGTTCAAGTCTTCTTTTGTGACCTTCTGCAGTGTAAAGTGTCTT